TTTTTTTTTTTTTTTTTTTTTTAACTTTGACCATGCCGTTGTCTGATGTGTGTGCCCGGTACACAAAAACTGTTCCAACAGAGTAATGAGGAAAAAAGAATGAAATCGACACACTTAAGTTTTACGATCACCATCATGAATTGGGAGACCGATATAATGTGTTGGTGTCTCAAACTACTGGCGCTTACCCTGTTGACGCATACGGTCTCGCTCCTTTTGGATTCCCTAAGACCTTGGTTCTAAAAGAGAAGCGATTTTTCTATCCCAAATAGCGACTTTTGCCTTAATTTATTTCGGATTGTAACTATCCCCCATTTGTATTGTCATACCTTTGTGCACTAGCTTAGCGACAGCCATTGATCTTATAAACATAATTCTAATCATTAGTATATTATTGTATAAAATCTAATGACATATTACATGTAGTAATTGATAGTGATACAAATAATGACAATTATAGGTTTCATAACAAGTGAGTGTTGGATATCGCTTGATATCAACTCGAGTTATATCATTTCAATATACTAATAAACGAGCCTTCGGCGAGTTTATTATTAATATTTCAGTTGAATAACAAGAGTTGATATCAAACGATTTACAATTCCCACGCGTTGTTAAACCTATTTCTCTTATGGGCAACACTCTCATTGTGTTTAATTAAAAATCCTGCGAATCGTTGTTCTATTCTTTTGCACATACCAGTATGACGTCAGATGTACTTTTCAGACGTTAAACGTTAACATTAGACATTTTACAACTTTTTGTTGTTCTTTATCTTATTGAAAAATGTCCTTTGTCATTGGCAAAATTATACATCATCTTAACCTTTGAAAGTTTTCAATGACTGAACAATTAGACAATGGAAATGTCTCTACATCGTCTCATGATGCTGGCCAAGTCAATCAAATTAAACAATTTTCGTATCTTTTTCCGTGATACAAGAAAGACTTCTTGCAAGAAATGGATAACAGACCATAACCATAAGAGAATGTATTATTATTATTACTCTTGTTTTTAATTTTACTATAAGTAGTAGAAGAAGTTTAATTTTTATCATTACTGTTTTATTCATATGATAATTATATCAATTGTTGACGTTTTTGTCGTTAAAACTGTGATCCTAGGATAATAACAAGAGATGCAAAAGGCCTTAATTAGGAGCTTAAGACTCTTCGAAGGCTAATATCATCATCTCTTCTTTTAATCTTATCAAATATTCAATATGTAATTTACTTGCTTGTTATTGAGATTGTCCATTGTAATAGGATAACTATTTTCCCATGGATTGTAATATCATTTGAACATGTATGCAGTTTTGATGGAACGCCATCATAATATTGGATTACTTTGAATTAATGTGTTTTTTTTTTTTTCGTTTGTATCAGGGATGTTTGTGGAAATCTCTGTTTAGTGTCTAGCGTCTATATTTTTTGCTGCATGCACAATACACTAATGAGTAAGTGTTATTTTATTCAAGTGCAAACCTGATGATTGCAAAACCACATTTAAAAAATTGTAGAAAATGGCGTCAATAACCTGAATAATGAATGTTGTTTTTTCATATTAGGCATTTTTAGTTTGTCTGTTTTTATATTATGACGCCAATAATTTCATCATGGATACCAGGATTAAATTTTTGTACACCAATCGTGCAAAACCATTCCATTTGTTACAGATCTCAACTAAGCCATGTATTCAATATAAAATGTCTTCACTCTTAGTCCGTTTTAACTTATTGATATTTTGTAACCTTCTAGATATTGAACAGATTATCATTGACTTTATAAATAAATACAATAAAATTGAGAATGGAAATGGGGAATATGTGAAAGAGACAACAACCCGACCAAATAGCAGACAACAGCCGAAGGCCACCAATGTGTCTTCAACGCAGCGAGAAAATTCCGCACCCGGAGGTGGTCCTCAGCTGGCCCTAAATAAAATTGTGTTCTAGTTTAGTGAAAATGGACGTCACACTAAACTACAAAACATATAAATGAACTAAAACTAAAAAAAGCATACAAGACTAACAAAGGCCAGAGGCTCCTGACTTGGAACAGTCGCAAAAATGCGGCGGGGTTAAACATGTTTTGTGAAATCTCAAACCTGTTTGTAGAGCAAATGGCATTACATATAAAAACAAGAATACAGCAAAGCAGGCGTTAGTACTTCTTCATTTCATTAACTCAATTAAACTTATCCTTGTACTATATGAGTATAATAGGTTCAAATATTTGAAATGGGTTGCTTCAGTGCACACATAGTACACAATGTACATAATTATGTTATAGTACATCTGGAATATGCCCTTTTACCTGATTTTTATAGTTTGTTCAAATGGTGTACTGTTACACCACTGTCCCATGTTAGAAGGAGGGTTTGGCGCCTACAAACATTTTTACCTCGTCTCATTACATGTATATGTTTGTCTGTCCCAAGGCTGTGCCAAATGCGTAAAATTGTGGTCTGGTGAATGTTGAATTGTCGGGCGACCTTACTTTTATATAGATCAGCCTAAAGACATAGCGACATTTCAAAGTTCATTTGCAGCAATGGCAATCGCATATTCATAACCTAAGTTTTATATTCGATAGTTGCATGGGTGATTTAACTAAACCTTTCTAATGGAATACATGTCTTTATTTCAACTATAATATAGACTGTCGAACGACTAGTTTAGCTAGCTATAAAACCAGGTTTAATCCATCATTTTCTACATGAGGAAAGGCCTGAACCAAATCATTCGCTTGATGTATTTGAGCTTTTAATTTTGCCATTTAATAAAGGACTTTCCGTTTTGAATTTTCATTCGAGTTCGGTATTTCTGCTATTTTACTTTTTCATAATATAATACAGGAGTAAGTACGAAAACACAATATTACTAGGAAATCTTGTAAGGGCTTTTTGGAAACAACCTTTTGGACAATTTTACATTTAGTTTACCCTTGTAAACTTATGGTAAAATTGAGAATGGAAATGGGGAGTGTGTCAAAGAGACAACAACCCGACCAAAGAGCAGAAAACAGCCGATATTGTGTACTACATAATCGCAAACAAACTAAATAAGGATTGGTTACTACATCCATTTCTAGAATTAGATAGAACAAAATAGTAAACAATCACAGCATTTACACTTCTCAATCTAAGGCCTCCTCTTTAGGTTTTTAATGTCCTGTTGTGTATTAGCTAACTACCCGTGAACTATCGTTTCATCTTGGATTTTATTACGTTTTTCACGACTTATTAATCGGTGTTTAACTTTTTTCCTTACTACTTTCAAAGAACTTATCATTAAACAAAGTATATGCAAATAATATAAATATTTTTCGGGGTAGTGTTAAACATTATGTTTCAGATTAATTACGTGCTTTTGGTTGTCCTTTTTTATTCGTTCGACAGTTAAAACTTTTCGAATCTCTACAGTACATTTCTTATCAAACAAAGTTTGCTGCAACTTATAACCTCAAAACATTCTTTTGTTACGAACCATTTAACCTAAACAAATTTCATACTTTCCATTATGATTTACTCACTCTGGGTTCATACACACTTCCACTGAATGGTTGGTTTCTGCATGTACATTTTGATGAATGTTAAATTTGATAAGGCAATAATTTTGTTTAGTTTTGAACAAAAAAAAACTTGATTAAAAATTCGACGATGAATTTCTACCAGAGACCTAATCATGTACATGTTGGCAACTATAGGTCACGTATTTTATGTATTTATTCATGTTTGACTGTCCAAATGTTGAATTGTGAACTCTTGTAATGAATTTGAATCCAGAAATTCACTGCTGGGGTTCGTGTTGCTCAGTCTTTAGTTTCTATGTTGTGTTTTGTATACTGTTGTTTGTCTTTTGGCCTTTTTCCTTTATTGCCATGGCGTTGCCAGTTTATTTTAGACTTATTCCTAAAGGAGCAAACTTTGTTATTACATGTATTCATGTTTAAGCAAGATATAAAAAACGAAATACTTCTATAGAATAACACTGCCATTTCAAATACATAAAACAATTAATTCATAATGAAAATTGAAGTGATGGTGACGCTTTTCTGTCCACTTCCAATCTAATGAGAGTTTCGATTTAAAGTATATTAAGACAACAGTAGTTTGCTGATGTTAAAAAATTACATAAATCGATTAAAACAAATCAAGGTAACACACACACACTGAGTATATCGCATGAAATACAGAGGATGCGAGACCGGGTGCGTCGAGTTAGATATATTTTATATGCATGTTTTATCACGAATACTATATTTAAAGGACACCAGTTTAAAGACTGAATCCAATTCATAATAATTAAACTGACCAATGCTACAAACCAAAACTAAATCTGATAAATTTACGGATTGAAAGCAAAAATCGATTGATTATTTTGTAATGCATAAACAATGATAGGGAAATATTTAGATATAAATACATGTGGATATAAATACATTTATATAGATTTCAAATAGGACAAAGACGAAGAGCAGACCACATGAAACCAGTTTTCACTATGAACCAAAATAATGGCAATGTCTGCTTTTTGGCTACTTTTGTTATAGATTAGTAAAAATGAAAATGCATTTCAAATTCAAATAATCTGGTAATGAATCTTACTATGTGATTCAGTAAATGAATTAATGATATTCCAAGATAGGTGTTTACAATGAAAGGTTGTAGTTAGATGCAGTTTTCCGCATTTATTGAGGAAATACAACTAATGTCAAACAGTCAGAAGTCAAAGGGTGTGTTTTTTTTTTTTTTTTTTTTTTTCATAGAATTTGGCAAAAAGGCGTAAATATTGAAGAGAAAACATTTCTCAACAATATATTACATTTAAATGTCGAAATTGAGTAATACAAAACCCCTGTGATGAAAACAGGTGCTGCTACCATTGACCCGTTTCAGCACAGTGTGTCAAGTTCGACTTGTCACGTGGCTGGACAAGATAAACACTAAATCAACCACAGATCTGATATTTTTCAAGATATAATATATATATATGTTCGCATACTATTTCAATTACTGAAGCGGTTCCCTTTAGCCTCATTCACCATGAGCAACACCATGGGCGCATCTACCAAACCAGGAACAGAATTTCTATACGGAGTGCATGAGCTCTTTTCATGTTCGATGGTATTCGTGTTGCATAATAGAATGTTTAGTGTTTTGCAAATTGTGATTTGTTGGTCCTTTCGTCGTTTTTGGTTTGCACGTGGTATAGTTTGTTGTCCATTGATTTTTGCGGTTATATCGTGCAATTGGTATCTTCGATCTCCTTTAACTGATAGGTCATAAAAAAATGAAAGAGTACACGTGTTCACTTTTTTGTAAACAAAAGCAACTTTATTACCTCCAATTGTTGAAAATACATTTGTTCATTCTTATAAGGAAAAGACTACACCAAAATCCTGGACAATGTAGAACTATTTCAATATAAGAGAGGCGAAAGAAACTAAAAAGTAAAATAACAAAAATACCGAACTCCGAAAAAAATTATATACGAAAAGTCACTAAGCAAATAAAAGGACATAACTCATAAGTCGAAAACAAACTGACAATGCAATGGCAAAAAATGAAAAACAATCAAGACAAATAGCATATAAAAACATCAAAGAAAACTTAAGACTGAGCAACACGAACCCTTTCAAAAACTGGTGATGATTTCAGGTGCTTGGGGAGGGTTGGCATATCCTGTTTCACAAGATAGGAGTTATTTGCGTTTTGAAGAAAAAAAAACATGTATTTTGTACATTTGATAATTGGTTTAAAATTAAAATCTGAGCAGCGTTTCTAAATATAACAGAATATACTGTAACGTATGCACACATTCTTCCACGGACAGAATGATCGCTACATAGATCTTTAACCAACCTGAAAATATAAACTACATTGTATATATGAATAAAAAATGTATGATAACTGAAAACAAATATTTCATACAAATAATATTACGTTGTTGCTGAATGTATTGAGTGACAATTCTTTCAGAGTGTTCATAAAAAGCAGTACACGACAATATCAGTAAAACATAGTGTTGTTAAGATTTATTCCTAGTGAACAGTGCACGTGTATGGAATTGGGAATTTTGGTATAGCCTAGAGTGGAAACGATATTGCCATTTTCCTGAGTGTACATTGTATATAATTGAGAATATCGACAAAGCCTAGTGTGGTTAATATGTTGCCATTTATTCCTAGTGTACAGTGTATGGAATTATGGAATTGAGAACTTTGGCATAGCCTAGAGTGGTAACGACATTGTCATTTTTGCCTAGTGTACATTGTATAAAATTGAGAATTTCGGCAAAGCCAAGTGTGGTTACGATATTGCCATACTTGCCTAGTGTACATTGTATATAATTGAGAATTACGGCAAAGCCTAGTGTGGTTACGATAGCCATACTCTCATAGTTTACATTGTATGGAATTGAGAATTTCGGCAAAGCCTAGTGTGGTTAAGATATTGCCATTTTTTTCTTAGATGTTATTTTCCGTTGTGGATTACATTACAATGTGCAACGAAAATAGACTTTTCTTTTTTTTTTCTCTCTTTTGATTCAGATTTATGATATCTGACACTTTGTCACAAATTAAAGTCTGTGATCAATCGTCAGTTACACCAGTGTTCCCTTGTGAGTTACCTGGTGTCTATTTTGTATTATTTTGAATGAATTATATCATTTAAGGTTGCGAGGCATACACTAGCAGTACTAGAGACACAACTGAGTAACTATCACGAAATTTGATGTTTCGATCTGATAAAAAGATTATAGTGAATTCAAGGAAAGCATTGATGTTGTAGAATATCTTTCACATATTTGGAAATATAGGTCTAAGTACTCTGTGTAAAGGAGTTGTGGGTAACAACTGAATTGTATATATTGTACAAAACAAGAATATCGACCTTTATATATATATCGATCCAAGTCGTTATGAATAGTTTTGAAATGTTTATTTTAGATCTGCACACATGAAGTTATTTGTGTGTTTTACTTCATGGAAATTTGTTAAATGTAAATGGTTAAGTAACTTTATATTTTTTATCGGAACAATAATACATAAAAAAAACTACCTCTACAGTTCCGATCTCCCACTGTAAATAAACTTATGTACACGTATTGCAAATAATGCGGAAGATGTGAATTACCTCATAAAATTCATAATATGTAATTTGATTAATACTTACATGAAAACATGGACAAGGTCCTTTACATTTTACAGCTTTGCCCCTGAAACGAATTAAAATAATTGGATTAATGTGTTTAAGCTTTTGATTTTGCCATTTGATTAATTAGAGACTTTCTGTTTTGAATTTTCCTAGGAGTTCGGTATTTTGTTATTTAATTTTTTACCTACTATAATTATGGTGTCGTACTCTGTTAAATAGTAATCAAGGAACATGATCTATCTTTATTTGATTGATGGAGGTAAGTGAAATAGACTCCACTAAAGTTCAATGCAATGTCATTTTTGTTCAATTGCAAGAATTATCGATTTAAACTTTGTCTAATGGATAAAAGTTGCAGTTTGTCATTTCTTCTAAAATTGACCACCATCAAAATTTATTCATACCAAAGGTAGCTAAAGTGGTATAAATATTGTTCAGTTTAATAAAACTATGATTTATTTATATAGAATAAGGAGATGAGGTCTGATTTCCAATGAAACGACTATCAAACAGAGTATAAATTACGTGGATTTAAGCAATACGAGTTAAACTTATATAACAGACTTTTACTTATTTTGTGTTATATCTCGTCTCACTATTTTTAATATGTACCACCTTTGATAACTATTCATATTTATTTATTAACCTTATTTCGTAAGACGATAAATGTTCACTCCTGTAGCTCTTAACAACAAATTTATTAATTTTGTAAATAATGTCTTCCGTACTCCAAACATCAAAATTCTTACTTTGCTTGTTTACTTGTTTTTGTTTGAATGTCTTTTTGATCACATTTTTCGCGCCTGTCCTTAGTCAGGAGCTTCTGGCCTTTGTTAGTCTTCTTTGTTGTTTTAATTTTAGTTCATTTATATGTTTTGCAGTTTAGTTTGACGTCCATTTTCACTGAACTAGTACATATTTTTGTTTAGGGGCCTGCTGAAGCCCGTCCCCGACTGTGGGATTTTTTATCTCTGTGTTGAAGACTCATTGGTGGCCTTGGTTTGTTATCTGCTCTTTGGTCGGGTTGTTGTCTCTTTGACTCATTCCCCATTTCCATTCTCAATTTTATTAAGCCATTTCAATTGATATTTTATAGTGTGTCTTTTTATGTTGTAATGTTACACTACTGTCTCAGGTTAGGAAGAAGGTTGTCGCCTGTTCAAACTTTTAAAACCACTGCATTTTAATGCACCTGTCCTAAGTCAGGAGCCTGTTGTTCAGTGGTGTTGTTTGTTGGTGTGGTTCATAGGTGTTTCTCGTTTCTCGTTTTTTATATAGATTAGACCGTTGTTTTTCCTGTTTGAATTGTTTTACATTACTCATTTTGGGACCTTTTATAGCTTGATGTTCGATGTGAACTAAGGTTCCGTGTTGAAGGCCATACTTTGCCCTATAATTGTTATCTTTTTATACATTGTGAATTGGATGGAGAGTTGTCTCATTGGCACTCATATCACATCTTCTTATCTATAGAAACCCACGAAAACCACTGTATGGCAAAGGGATAGGCACATAATGTGTGGCGGGACTAAACATGTTTTGAGCGCTTTACACTTCTTCACATTTTGCAACTGGAAATTTATTACATGCAATTGAATGTGCATGAAGGGAACATTGAATTTTCAACATTGTATATGAAAATTGTGACTGTTACCATTGGGGCTAAAAAGACAAACAAAATGCACATAGAATTGTCTACTTATCATCTGTTCGTTATCCCACAAAGGGGCCTGTGTGGTTGATTGTTCTAAGTTTTCGAACTACTATAACACTAGTCTGTCAAAACTGAGGTTGTGAGTTAGAATCCTGCAAGTGGCAGGTGCGCTTGACTTTAATCGTAATTGAATGGGCTAATTATTTTCTACCGAAGGTCAGTTGTTCTATGCGGTCACTGCGTCGTCCTCTACTAATAAAAACTGATGGCCACGAAATAGCACAATAGTGATAAAAGTGGCGTTAAACACCAATCAATCAAACAATCAATTAATCGTACAAAACATATCAAATATGTTTTGTTAATTGATATTTTCTTGCCTCAGTTGCAAATATATCATGGAAGACAAAAACACATAAAACATGGAACTTCAAGATGGGTTTTACAGTACAGACGGGAATGACTTTTAATTCTCACTGTAATAAGAAGAGGCAGTCGCTTTGCTTCGTATTAATGCCATGCATTTCCGTGAAGATTAGTATGTCATAGATATTGAATTCCACAATCATTTCGTTTTTTAATCTGCAATGTTATGTGCCATGAATCAGCGTGGCTTATCTCACTTCAAACCTCTCTGACAATGTTTGAATCAGTTGTTAGAATGACACGATTCATGTCTTGCTTAAGCAACGAGTTTCATTTCCTGAGACAGTTTTCTATAAGGCAAAGTTGCTAGTTGCATCTTTTATCTACACAGCTGGTAACACCATTTGACAATTGCTTTTTTATTTTCATGTCTTAATATGTTAAGATAAATCATTTCCATTTTATTCCTTAGTAGTATATACCGCGGCTATGGTTTAGGATACAGGCTTTATTTTTTTTTTTTTTCACATATGACTTTTTTTTTCCTATAGTTTCTTAAAAATGAAACTATTACAATTAACCATAGGTTGTTCTCGACAGGAAGTCCTTATTCTGACCAGCACCATCTCTTGCTTGAGATTGTTATTCACTGGCTTATTTCGGTCAGATGATTTTAAATCTTGAGTTTAAAGGTCAAAACGGGATTTTTCTGTCCAGTGACTTCAATTTGAATATATATAAGAAAGCTCTCATGTAACACAAAATATTATTAATAATATCACAAACTTTGAACCAGGGACATATCTTGCTGTTAAGCTACTGTTTGATGTCAACAAAAGCTTTTTTGCAGTAAAAAAAAATCGAAATAGGCAAACAAAAAACTTACGAGCATTTAGCGAAACATGCATTGGTATACGTTTTACCATCATCACCACACACTGGACGATTCCAAAATCGGCAATTACAACCACCACAAGGACATTTACCATAACACTTTACTTTTACTCGACTGCAAAGATATAATGTTTCCGTTAATAACATTAAACATACAGATATGCAACTTTTTCAAACGTAAAAAATGAAAAAGACGATTCAGTCAAATTGCAATCTTTGAAAATGGGTTTGCAAGATTTCACAATAAAGATATTTTTAAAACAATCGATTTTCACACTAGTTGGTTAATTTGTAGAAGTTTTTCCCATCGTAAGCCTGTTTAACATGTAAAACTATCTTCTATACGGAAAATTAAAGAATGTCTTGTATGTTGTTATTTTGGTCAATGTACGAATTTTGACGAATAGACAACTTCATTTTATTTACCCCACCATTTATTGGTTATGAAACTGTTTAATTGTTGTGAATGTTTTAAATTATCTCTTTTCCACATTTTGTTATTTAATTATAATCCTGCATTCTTTTTCTGTGTAATTTTGCCTACATTTGAAATCAAACTGGGTTCAACAAGGAAGTTTTTTTACCATTTGAAATTTTTTGAAATGAACACAGTTATTTTTGCGCCAAATTCGCAAATCTATAGAGTATGGGCGTACTTAGCATAACATTGACTCCGGCAACCCCTGGAGAGCCACGTTGTGATAAAGTTTTCGGTTTTTCGTAATTTACAATTTTTGATTTTGATTTGTTTCAATTATACTGCAAACACTTTGACTAATCTCATCGGGGGAGATCGGCAACACGTGTTATCACTGACATCTACTGAGTTTTTGTGCTCTTACGTAGACAGAAACAAGAACCTGCTACGCAAAATTTGAATTCAACAGATAAATCACTCAATGAGTTATAACGATTTTTGCGAGTTCGAAAATATTTATGAATACTTCCGAAATAGATAAAAAAAAAAAACAAGTATTGATAAACAAATAATAGAGGTACAAGTCGCATGCAAATGATCCGAAACCATGACGTAATACTACCGAGATCATGACTGTACCTAATGCCCCCTTCACAAACACGGATATTTCTTATGTGTCCTTACGGATCGGTCAAATTCACGGATCCTTACGATTTGACAACTTTACGACCATTCTAAGAGATGTTAGAAGTTATTACGAGCTATTTGCGGTTTATGACGTATTATCACGAGTTATTACGGTATATTTTTGGCAAAATTCAACGATTTGTAACAGTTTATAAGACATTTTTCGAGTGAAATACGGAATACTACAATTCATCAAGCTTTACCGTGTTTGTTAAGACCTGTTACGTGTTGTTACGAATAGTTTCAAGTTAGTGACGATTACTTACGAGTCATAACGATTTTGCAGCTTGTATAATTTTCCAAAAAGCGTAAACAATACGTAAGAATACACTAAGTATACGTATATATTCGTACAGTACTTGTAACTACACGTAAAGTGTTCGGTATAACTCGTTTAATCCATAAAGCCATCCTAACACGACCTGAAAAAACTAATACACAGCATGTAAGCACTCGTTATAGTCCGAGAAAAATTTCATAAACATATCGTAAACTAACCATAACAAATCGTTAAAAAAATTTGTTACGAGTCATGTATGGTTTTTGAACAGCAGTTTACGGATATATACGTGTAGTTGCGAGCGGTTGACGAGCGGTTAACGATACTTATGAATTGTAAGTAATTGTTTACGGAAAAATCAATTTTTTCGTGGACAATCGTTAGAAGATTTTTGACATGTCAAAAAGCTTGACTCTATTTTCAGGGATCCTTAAGTGTGTCTGCGAGTTGTTGCGAGTATTAACGAGTTATTTACAGATACCAGCGAGTCATTAGTGGATACCTGCTGTTGACTACCAGTTGGCAATTCTTTAGGACTCGTAAGAAAAATCCGTGTATGTGATGTGTGCAAATGACATAGATTTAATATAAAGTCCCCATCATATACACGGATTTTTTACTAATTATTGCGCATCGAACACGTTCCCAACTTCTTACAATTTGGCCACTTTTCGATCGATTTTAAAGTAGTTACGAGTTATAACGAATAGTTACGAGGTAGTTACGAGTATTTTAGGGTCCTTGCGATTTTTCAGCTTTTATACCTTTTCCCAAATCGTAAACAATATGTTAAAATACGTAAAGTATACGTATCTATTCGGTAAGTACTCGTAACTACACGTGTAGTCCTCGTAATAACTCGTGACAATCCGTAAAGTCATCGTTACACGACCATAATGAAATCGTAAGCAAGACGTAAGCACTCAACTGACCGTAACAGAACGTAGAAAACATTTACGGGTCATTTACGGATTCTTGTGAGCATTTTATTGATGGTTACGTCTTGTTGCGAGCGGTTTCTGACCCGTTTACGATACCTACGGATTGTTTCGAGTTATTTACGGAAATTCAATCCAAGGTCAATTGTAAGAAGACTTTTGACATGTAAAAAAAATGTTTTTCCGGATCCTAAAAAGTGTCTGCCAGTTTTAACGAGTTGTGGCAACTTATTTACGGATTCCAGCGAGTTATTTACGAGTTCTTGCGATTGAGTACAAGTTGGCGATCAGCAAGGATTTGAAAGAAAAATCCATGTATTTGAAGATGGCATTAGATAAAAATTCGTACTGTGCATCTGATTAAGATGTCATCAAAAAAGGTGAACACAGATTTAAAGATGTATATTTTCTTAAAAATCTTTTTTGTTTCTGATTCTAAGGTCAAAATAAGAAATTTTGTTTACACTTTTCTGGATATGGATGTTGAGGATTAAAAAATGATTCAAACATCCTGTCACAAGGGTTCTTTTCTAATTGAGAAAATAGGATAAATCTCCTTCCAAATAAAAAATAATCAAATGCATTCAATACTTACGCACATTTAGCTTTACACCCATTACTATAAGTTTTGCCATCTCTTCCGCAAACAGGACGGTATTTTTTTTTACAGGTACACAATTTACAGGGACATTTATCATTACACTTTACTTCCACTCCACTACAGCAGAAACAAAAATCACAATTTCATTTACTAGTTAAGAATATGCAAAAGCTTAGTTGTACTATTCGAACAATAGATATGAAAAACAAAAATGGAATGAAGGTCGATAAGATATTGTTGTAGTGTTTTACAATTGAGTAAAAACACATGTACAGAGTGACAGAGATGACAAACTATTGAACATGATAAAGAGAAAACGATGACTAACAGAATCACAAAGCAAGTTTGATGCAGAAAAAAATATTAGAAAACATGAAAATTAGGTATCAAGTCATGTCATATTATCAATTGTATTTATACGCTAAAATCGTTGTTATAATTTAGGATTTTGTGTTCGCATTATTATGCGAAAGCTTTGAAAAATGAAAGTCTTCAGGCAGACCGGCGACACGTTTTATCATCAATGTCTACTCTGTGTTTGTGCTGATCATCAGAAAGAAAAAGAACATGCTCTGCATTTCAATGCAATGCACTACTACGCAAGCAATTATGATATCGGCATTTCAGGAAAAAATATCCAAATACATTCCTCAATAGATTGAAAAGGTGTTGATAATTTACAGACGTAGAAACTGCATGCAATTGATCAAAATCATGACATAATCTTACCACGTACATGATTATGAACTATGACATTGTCCATTATTCGTTAAAAATGATCGGAATCACAATAAAGATGAATAAAACGCAGTAAATGATAATTGCTTTCTTTGCAGAATATCTGATTTATGGAACTTTTTTGTTTATGGCTATTAGGCTGAAAGCTAAAAGAATGGAAAAAAAGTTGCTGAAAAATAAACAAATGTACACAAAAATCCTGTCATCGGGATCTTTTCATAGTTGAAAAGGCAAAGACTTAATATAATCTCATTCAAAATACAAATTTAAATAGTCTGCTGCATTTAATACTACTACACAATAAGCGTTACGCCCATAGCTAAATGTTTAGCCAGCATCTACGCAAACAGGACTGTTATGTATATAGCGTGACAGATACACAAATTACAAAGACATTTACAATCGCTCAATGTACTCACCCAACTTAACAATTTGTACAATTTCCTTCATTAGTACGATTGAGTATGCAATAGCTTCTTCGTAGTATTTAAAAAAAATAGATATGACAAGCAAAAATGGAATGAAAGTGGACCATATATTTTTTAATTGGATTATATTGACCCAAACACAAAGACTAACAAAAAGGACAATTGATTTAACATTTAAGATAAAATGGTGCTTACAGAAACATACAATCCAATTAACTACAGACAACAAAATGATTGGAATAAATACTATGAAGATAAGCTATTCAGTTATGCCATATATGTGACTATTAGATTGATTTAATTTTTAGCTAAATTGTTGTTGTTTTACCACCGCTAACTTAGTGTTCGCATTTGTCTACAAAAAGCTTTGACAAATACTACTTTACAAGGGGAACAGGCGACACATTTTATAACAGACATCTACTGGTTTTTTTTTTAAACTTTATGTTTTTCCATTTTAATTTTTCGGATCTTTTCGTTAGTTCTTACGATAGAGGCGGGTTATAAAAAATTTGAGAATACATTCCCCAATATATTTTAAAACTATTTGATAAACAAATTACAGGTGTACAAGCCGTGTGCATATTATCTGATCATGATTGCGAATTTTGACAACGCAGTATGATGTTTTAAAAGTAAAATAACAAAAATATCGAACTCCAAGGAAATAATTCAAAACGGAGAGTCCCTTATCAAATGGCAATTTCAAAAGCTCAAACACATCAAACAAATGGAAATCAACTGTCATATTTCTTATTAGTAACTTGGTGGATTAAACCTGTTGTAATAATATGCCAATGATAAAGTTCCGTTCAAGAAGTGTGGCAAGTCAAAAGAAAAGTAATTAACGAATTTTAAAGATCTACTTTCTTTACACTTTTTTTTTATATCCTTTCATCCATTATACTTCTTCATACAGTAGAAAGGAATAAAATTCCTCCCGAAAATACTTATACAGTCAAATAGTAGTGGCATTTAAATTTAACTAGCAGATAATGTCTATATGAGTTGTCACCGTCTCAACAGGACTGTATATTTTGACAGTCACATGTATTATAGAGATATTGTTTGCACTGTGCTTTAACCCCTTTGAAAAAAATTAAAATTTCTTATAATTATATTAAGTATGCACGATCATCGTTTTACCATTCGCATTTTTGCGCCTGTCCCAAGTTAGGAGCTTCTGTCCCTTTTAGTCTTGTATATTTTTTAATATTTTTCTTTAATATGTTTTGAAGTTTATTGTGACGTCCATTTTATAGTACACATTTTTGTTTAGGGGCCAGCTGAAGCCCGCCTCCTGTTGTGGGATTTTTCTCAGTCGGCTGTTTTCTGCTCTTTGGTCGGGTTGTTGTCTCATTGACACATTCCCAATTTCTATTCCCATTTTTAATATATATCAATAATAAAAACGGAAAGAAACTCGGACAAGCTTTATTTTAATTATTCTAAATTAAGAAAAATCAAACGAAATGACGGAAAAAATTGAATATTTAAACATGTTTACGAGAAGGTACAATAAATGATTTTAAATAATCAAATAACAAATATAACATACAATCCTAATTTAAATAATTCAAAACATGCCATGCACACATCCTGTATTACCGAGTTGTAAATGTATACTGTTGTTTACACTTTTATTTATATCTGAATTACCTGAAAGTCTACAAATAGTACAAAAATCCTCCCACCAAGTCCCTTTTTCATTCAGAAGAAAAAATAAAAGCCCTCACAAAATAGCATATGACGTTCATTCAAAACTTACGAGCATTTTGCAGTACATCTATTACTATATGTTTTGCCATCATCTCCACAAACAGGACGGTATATTTTTTTACAGGCACACACACTACAGGGACATGTACCTTTGCACTTTGGTGTCACCCCACTGAAGAAAATATTTACAATGTCCTTTAGTAATATTGAGTATGCACTATCTTTGATGTACAATTTGAAAAATATATATAGAGAGTAAAAAAGAAATAAAGGTCGATATTTTATTGTTTGAATTGTAGAAACTTCAATAAAGGACAAAGTCACTGGCTGACAAAGATGACCAACTATTGAACATAATTAAGAGAAAACAGTGACTTCCAGAAACACAGTGCCAATTGACTGAAGAAAATAAATAGAATACTTAAAATGAAAATCATACGTTCCATCATGTCATATAATCCATTGTATTTATAATCTAAACCACTAATACTTGTTTTAACCACAACTAACTTAGTGTATATACGCATTATTCTGCAAAGTTTAGGCAAATGTAACTCTTCGCGGGAGATCGCTGACACTTTTTATCTCATACATCTACTTTTTTGTACTGGTCCGTAGACATAAACTAGATCTTGCTGCTCTGCATTTTGTTTCAACGGAACATTCCTTAAGTTATGAAGATTCAGGCGCGATAGAAATACAAATGCATTCCGCAATAAATTGGGAAAGTTCTGATAAACAAATAACAGACCTGCAAGCTGCATGCAAATACTCCAAATTCTTGACCGTAATCTTTTTTTAAATCATAATTGCTAGCTATAACATCGGTCATTATGAGGATAGCAGTTGCTATATAATGCCATTGATATTCTGGTGAAAATGATCGGAATCACAATAAAGAACGTAAACACGGAAAACATGTTTACTTCCCTTATAGAAGATATAATTAGCTTTGATTCGTTTAGTTTTAGTTCGTTTGCTGAAATACTTGAATTTTGTTAACACTTTTCTCTTCAGATTAGCATGATTGATGACAGTTACTAAAATACTACAAATATCGTGTCAACGGCATCTCTTTCCAACTGAGGGAGCACATAATTAATCTTCCTCCCAATTAAAGTTCAAAAAGTCAAATGGATTTAATACTTACGCGCATACAGCTTCACACGCATTGCCATACGTTTGACCATAATCTCCGCAAACAGGATCGTATACAGCTGGACATATACACCCTTTACACGGACATTTATGTTTGCATCTAAATTTCACGCCACTGGAAATAAAAATTAATAATTCCCTTTTATATATCAAATATGCAATTAATTCGTTGTAATATTTAAACAATAGATAAAAAAAAATTAACAAAAATGAAATTATGGCTAATAAAGGATTGTTTTAATTATATTAAAATAAGCAAACCTAAATGCACAAGCTTAAGAACATGTCAAACGTTTACAAATAATTAAGAGAAAAACAGCGACCCACAGAAACTCAAATGGCTGCTGCAAAAATAAAATTAGAATATATACAATTCAAATCATCTATTCAATCATGCAATATAATCGATTACACTTATATGTTTAATCACTAACATTTATTGTATTACGGTAACTAAATTAATCTTGGTGTACTCATTATTCTGCAAAAGCTATGACAAATATACTCATTCGAGGGCGACACTTTTTATCATAGAAATCTAACGTTATTGTGCGTTCTGATCCTTAAACGGAATAGATAGGGAAAGGTTTGAACAGCGAATTTGGGCCTTAAAAGTTGCATACCAATTGTCAAAAATCGAAATATGGTCTGACCAAGATCATCATTGTGAACCATATCAACATTCATTATAGCATCTTATAGGGATAACAAATACAAATGTATCCTATAAAAACTCTGATGGACATAATCGGAATCACCACACAAAATGTAAACATGAAGATATCTATGGTTGCTTCCTTTTAAAAAGATCTGATTGGTTTTAACATTTACGAAACCTTATCTTTCAACATTTAGTATTTGTATTTTTTTAACTGAGGAAGCAAATAATTAATCTTTCACCGGAACAAATTAAAGAGTGCTTTGTTTACTTACGCGTATTTAGCGTTGCGCTCATTATTAGTAGATTAACCATCATCTCCGCAAACAGGACGATATATACCTTGACATGTTAAAAAATTACAGGCATATTCATAATTTACCATGCTTTCACCCTAATGAAGTAATTATTCCCAATTTCCTTAAGTGATATTGAGTATGCAATAGCCTCGTTATATTATTTGAATTATAAATAAAACCAAAAGCCAATATGAAATGAAAATTGATAAGGTATTGATTGAATTTTATTAATTGAGAAAACACAATGGCACAGACTGATAAAGATGACTAACTGATAATCATAATTCAAAACCAAGTATGGAATCTATAATCTTCTAGACTTTGTTTCTCTATTCTTGATCAGTATATACATGGGAAAGCTATTCAAGAGCTAGATCTGTTCTTGTCTCATTCAAATTTCAAAATACATTGCGGAAAGTGTGACCAGTTCCTGTTGAACAGTTTGTAAAATACATAGCTTACAAGCATCTATCTGCAGCTACAGTTCGATCATATTTAAGTAGGTATAATGTTTTCTAACGAGGCATTTAATTTAGAGGATATTGCTAAGAACTTTATTATATCTAAAATGGTCGGATATTTAAAAGGAAGAAACCCACAGAAAGACAACAGGGTCCCAATATCACTAGCATTACTAAAACAAATGACAGATGTTCCACCTAGTAGATGGGTCAATATCCCTAATGCGCCTCAAATTGAGGAACACAAAAGTTGGCGTAAACAAAAAATCATCTGTGTAGTGATATTGGACATGTTTCTATTTTTAACAAGTGACTGAGCTTAACCATTTGTGTTGCTTCTGAAAGTAGAGGACCATTGAATAAATGTGTAAAAACTATGGAGTTATTAAATGAGTGCAAAGTACTAATTTTTTAAAGAACTTATTGTGTGCAAAAATAGATTTTTTACCTCGAGGAGACGCATCACAAACGGATTTTCGGGGTGTGCTTATTTACGGAAAAATGAATCACTGTTCGTACCCCGAAAATTTAACCACATTAGAGAAAATGGCTCAGCTTCAAAATGAGCCATCATACATATCCAAATTTACGATATGGACTGAGCTACAGAAGAAAATGTTACCATTACAGCCTATGGGAAATCAATTACGCATACTGACCAATTTGTACATCTGCTTATGAATTTGTATTATTTAAATATTTATTTATTCTAGCATTTTTCGTAATTTTACGTGTGAGTAAGTTTGGAACAAAGCATAAATCTTGTTCTTGTACCGTAGCACCGCAACTGTCGGATGTATTCTTGTCAGACAATTAACTCAAATTTACCATTAAAAAAGTGAATCAGAGAAAACATTCAACGTGCACCGTCATAAATGAATATATAGATAACAGCGAACGCCCAGCATTATTTTTGAATAAGTACTTATCTGCATGTCATGAGGTGTCAGGTTATTATCATTTATTCCTCTATTTTAACCGATCATTGCTTACCCAATATCTACTGTCAGGTTCTAACCCTTTTGAAATCGCATTCGTTTAAAATTGGAGCAGTCTCAGAGGTGAGCAATCACGTTTCATCTTCAAAAGACTCATCTGTAACGCTTGAATCAGAACATTGTAAAAAGCCAAATAAGGTACGAGGTTGAAGATGTTAACAATATTACAGCAAAAACCTTAAGACGGTTTCTTTAAAGCAGTATTTGACATTTAAGCAACTGTGTGGATATCAGATTGATTGATTGTTGGTTGCTTAACGTCCAGCGGCACGTATTTCATGTATGTTCATGACAAAAACAAAATAACGATGTATACGCTAGGTAGGGCGTTTAATAAAGGCTGTCTTGGATGAAGGTCGGAAAAATTTGGACTGCCACGAAACAATTAGTGTAAATTGGATAGGGACAGAAATTTAACCTTGCAAAATGGCACCTACGGACAACTCAAAGTGTTGTTGCAAGGGTTCTAAACGTGCAAAGAGCGTGGCACTCTCTTTACACGAGTCCCCATTCTGACCGGACGTTGCTGCAAATTTGTACACCCCGCACAGCCAATCGGACGCTCCACTTTGGCTAGGGTTTTACTGCTGGTCGAAGAAAGACAAACGGTGACCATATTTCTATTCCCAGTCACCTTTTGTGCTGGATATCAGGATGCTACTTCCCCATTAAATTGGGTAGGTGTAACAGGTGTTAGCTAACCTGCTGGGAATAACTTTCACTTGAATAGACTAGGAATGCCAAGTTCATTTGATAACCAAATCGGGAATGAAATGGAAAGATCTCGATTCGAAAACAAAATAAAAAAGTGGCCAACCCTACATATATGTAGACCTAAGTGTCTGTTCTATGTTCCTTTGGAATTTTAACCAAATATGAGAACTAAATCTTCTTTCATTGTGTCGGATTCATAAATTACATAAGTGTCCTACAGCGTTATATTACTGGGTCTTTCAAGTGCTGTGGTCGGCGTGACTCAGATGTGAATCCTAAAGGATGCCAAAGATCTGTAAGAGAAATAATAACCTAAGTTTCTTTCCTCTTGCAATAATATTAACACAATTATTTTATCTACCCTTCACACTAATATTGCCCATTCAAAACTAAAAGAAATGTTGAAATAACTAGTCCTGCCTTGTTTCATTAAAAGCAATGGTCAACGTAGATGTAGATACAAGTATCATGAAGGGATAATCGTACTTTAAAAAACAATCACTCTGATTCAAATAAAGCATTCTCTGAAACTGACTTTATCAAGATACTTGATACATGTATCAGCAAATAATCGGCGTTTACTTAGGAACCAACAGTGCTCCTCTGTTTGATGTATTGTTCCTTTATCCATATGAGGCTGACTTCATACAGGAACTAAGCGGCTTCGGCGGCCGAGTGGTCTAAGTCGTCCAACAACTTTTCAACAAGCCTTTCAACACTGAGGTTGTGAGTTCGAGTCTCGAATCGTGACAGATGCGTTTGACTTCAATCCTAATTGACTAGAATTGTCAGTTTTTTTTTTCTATAGAAGATCGGTAGTTCTCTCCGAGCAATCCAGCTTCCTCCTATTTCAATATCATATACTTTTTATTTTTAAGAAGAAAACTTTCAACAGGGTTCTACAGTGATTACAAGTCATTAAGCTTTCATTTGTTAAAAATATGCCAAATACATTACTTGGTTTGGATTTCAAATTTCTACTAATTTCTTGTATGTTCTTTCTGAACGGGTCTGAATGAATTGTTCTATACCATTTAGGAGCGAACCAAAGACGAATTTAAAACTCTCCCCTTTGTCACAAATCGTTACACCTAACATCTCCTTGGTGGAAGGTAAACATAATTCCCATGGGTTCACGCTTGCAATCAGGAGTAATCCCCTTCTTATCTGGTAACTGAAGGGTAGTGTCATCTTCGCAGTTCACGTAATTTTGATTGTTTGCAAATTATAAATCAGATGGACTATTATTGTTACAGAGATTCGAGTGAACATATGTGGGTTACCCATTCTTACACGTAGAAGGGATATTTTTACATTTATGCTATAATAAGGTCCTCGATATGATTCTTTCAATCCATTGCCCACATGATTCTTTGTATCCCTGTAACTGGTAAAATATTTCACTTTCGGTCTTTCAAATATCCTCACATATATGATTTTGTATATATATATTAGTTGCATTATTAGCATTAATATTCTTTATTCACTCTACTTTGTATTATTAGTTTCAACGCAATAGGTCCATTTATTAACTGCTAGTTGGAAAATTTAAGACAACAAAAAGGGTCAACTTCATAAGACCGAAAAATAATGCTATTCAATGACGACTTTTTTTCTCATTTTATACGTTTTTGGTTGTATAGTGTTGTATGCTGAGAACACCTTTAAACACCAATAATGGTCAGCAAGACTAGTTATTCCATATAAGAATTATTGTCTTTCAATGACAAAATGTACCTTAAAGTTTTGGTTCTATCCCGTTTCCCTAGTTTAGATGTAAAAGATTACCTCCATGAATATTTATTTCGTAAGAAGAGGAAGGTTGAATGTCAAAAGAACAATATTCAAACAAAACTTTTAGTTTTATAAAAATATATTACTGTCAGTACACAAGCTCTGGACTTTTTTCGCAGAGCTCATCGGAAAGTACCAAGACCTAACAGATCAATATTCAGTATCTACTTCACAAATTATACAAGATAATCTTTAGTTATAGAATCGAGGTGCGTGCTGAAGTTGTGAATCTTTTAATTCAATTTAAAGTTTTCCCGTTATTTGTCTTCGTGATATTATGTTTCATTTAATCATATGACTTTTGACGTGCCTCGATATTTATGCATCCCGCTATCTGGCGTTCCTGATGCAAGTAGGTCCAGAGGTGCGATTCGGAAGCAAAATGTGTTTAGTGTTGTTTCCATTTTGTTAACCCTTGCATTTATATTTTACTAATTATGCACTTTATCGAGAAAGTGTATACAACACACGGTATGTACTATCAACTACAAAATCTTTTTTATCTGCGTCTTTGTCAATTTACTATCAACAACAAAAACTTTTTTGTTAGCGTCTTTGTTAAATTTATTTGTATGACTGTTTGTTTGAATTTTTTAATCATTTTTGATGTATGTTTACAAAGTGTTGGCTGCTGGATCCCAATTAGTATCACATTAACATAAAGCGTCCAATTTTGTCAATATAACAAAACTATAATCAACTTCAAACTTCCCTTTTGTGAAATTACCTAAGAGGTAATTTTGTTATACTGTTTTATGCTAACAGGAGCCAATACATAGTTCAAGTTTTAACTTTTCCCGAGTAAATGCCATGTAACTGAATTTAACAGGTACTGTTATACAAAATACTTTCTTGATTGTTAAGCCATCTATCCATCGTAGTGAATTATACTTGCGATCGCAGACTAACTATGTACGAATGAAGAATGGACTTCAAACACCTAACACTAAATCAGTCGACATTCTTTTTGCTTATCAACTTTGCGTACAAAATTTAATCCTATTATTTGAGATGACTTTATTCAAAAGGGCATTAGCTACGAGATATGAAAAAAAATGATTATAATGTTTGTTTAAATCATTAATAAAAGTTCGATAATGAAATAATAATTCGCTTTTAGCAGCCATTTGGTTCAATTTTTGTCAAAATAAGCAAAGAAACATCGGTGATGAATTATTCACATGCAAGTGAATAATTCGACCTCATTGAATCCGTATTCATGTGACCTTCAATTTAACTAATTAGCTAGAGATTGGATGCGCATGTATTAGTCGTGTTTAGCCATCAAAAGGAAAAGAATGTGAACTTTAAAGTGAAACAAAGGTGAACCATTTCGTTGACTGATTCGATCTACAAAAAAATATTCTTATACAGGTAAAAACGATAATTAACTTATTTTTTTTAACCTATAACATGAAATCAATTAGACCTTGAAAAATCCAGTTGCATGAAGTCGCTATCTATTTATATTAATGTGTATGTTTATATCGGATTATGTGACCGTCGGTAGTCTTCGGAGGTCATCTCGATAATTTATTAATGGGCGTCTAGACTAAAATACACACGAAATTATGATACATATTATCGAGCCCATGCATTGTAAAGTGTTTATTTTAGACTTTTTTTTTTAATTTGGATATACGTTTTAGTATGTAATAAATCAAATATGAGAATTTGAGTCAAATCGGTGAAAATAAATTTGACAGCTTATGCCCCTTTAATACTTCCTCATTTTTATTTCAGAACTTGTACAGCTACAAAAATTTCAGTCGCAAATGAATCAAAGCATTTTATTGAGCTGTTTGTGATATTCAGCTAAATGTTTAGTTACCATTAGACACCTCTACTTTCGTTTTGATGAAAATCTTAAAACGGATTATTATATTAGTATTTTCACAAACATAGGATCACCGATCATAAAAAAAGTTTGAACAGCTCTATGTACAAAATATCTAAGCTTTTTAAACTAATTAAATTCGCTTAAAAATCTTATGTTTAAATGTTAAATAGCACTGCGACATTTATCCATCTAAGACTAAAACGATGATAAATCAGATTAAATAATTGATCTCAAAATGCTATTAATCAACACGATTGTATCTAAGGAAAAAGGACTAGCATTTTGTTCATACATTTCTTCAAATGCTCTTACTGTTGACCCTTCGGACGCGTTCGGTGACACTTTTTACATTAAATCTACTGATTCTATGCTGATTTAGACAAAAACTTGTTGTCTGCGTTTTAATTGGACGGTAATTCTGATAGTTATTACGAAATACTTGCGTAGGAATACATTTGCTTATACATACCGTCATATAATTGAAAAAGTTAAGATAAACTAATAACGGAGGTACCAGCCGCAAACAATTAATAAAACTTTTTTGCGTTATTTTTTGTCCAGATCTTGATTATGAAAAATAACTTTGTTCATTACAATGATAAAAGTTGTTATACTGAGCCATTACTCAATTTCAAATGAATGAGACTGACACGACCCACAAAGGGACACCAAAACGTTATATATATAAAAGTTGACTTCTTTTGAAGAAGATATTATTGGAATTGATCAATATCCTATATCCTAGATCCTAAGATTATAAAAACATCTTTATACCTGTATTTTAATGTGGAAGAAAAATATTAATCTCTACTTCAAAACAAGTCAGAATATTAAAGTTCTGTCATACTTACGCGCATTTAGCTATACACTTATTAATATACGTTTTGCCATCAACTCCGCAAACAGGACTGTATTCTTTTGAACAGGGACAAACATCTTCACAGGGACATTTACTATTGCATTTAATCTTTACTCCACTAAAATAAATAAGAATTTCCAATTTCTTTAAGTCGTATTGAACATGCCTGCATTACCTTCGTTGTACCATTTGATTAATAATTATGAATAACAAATACGGGATGAAAAAAGACTAAGCATAATGTTGATTGGATAAATTTTAACAACTCACGAAGGTTAAAATTGAAAAAAAATGTCGTACTATTCCACCTGATTAAAAAGAAACAATAACAAGGAGATAGACATAGCTATTGTACCGCTGAAGACAGATACTGTGACAATATGACAATCGACTTTTTCAGTCATGTCATATAATCCATCGTCACAGTTTATTTCTGGACAGTCTTCTAATACACACATTCATTCTAGATTACTGACAACAAATAACTTATTGTACGCATGTTTGCTACTAATCTATTCCTTCAAAAGAGAACGGCGACCCTTTCTATCTTAAATTCTACTGATTTTATGCTATTTATAGACCGAACCGAACAAAGGATCAGAACGTAAGTTATTACGACATTTACGAAATAGTTGTGTTAGAAAATATTTGAGAATACATACCAATTAAGAAATTTTGTAATACCAAATTATGGACGTATCAGTGGCATACAATCTATACTACTGTATGACGTTATTTTACTCATATCTTGATTATGAGGTTTGACATTGATTGTTCATTATAATGAAGAAAGTTGATATACTATGCCATTACTCAATATCAACTGAAGGAGACCAGCAAGACCAATGACTTGAAAAAAAGAATAATAATGAGGTACATATAAGTTTAATTCTTTTTGATAATCTTCCAGGTCTTTTACTTTTATTAGACTTATAGAAAGCTGTTGATACCTTTGAATGGTCATTTATAGACTTGGCTCTGTCTGTCTTTTTTAGGACTTGGTCCTATTTTTTGTAAATGTGTCAAGACCTTATGTTCAGAATCTCAGAGCTGTATTATAAACAATGGACACTGCTCTCAATTTTTTAATATTGGACGGGGTGTTAGATAAGGTGATCCTTTATCTCCTTATCTCTTTATATTATCTTTAGAACTAATGAGCGCTGCACTTAAAAATAACCCGGAGATAAATGGTATGAAAATAAATGAGTCAGAATATCTACTAAGCCAGTATGCAGATGACTCATGTCTTTTATTAGACGAGAATGAGCAATCTTTAGAAAAATGTTTATATACTTTAGAAAAATTCTCTGAGTGTGCTGGACTAAGGGCAAATTTTGATAAAACTGAAGCCATATGGATTGGGTCAAAGATTCACTCAAGGGATAATCTAAAAACTACAAGAAACTTGAACTGGAATTATTCAGGAAAATTTAAACTTTTAGGAATAAAATTTGATCTGTTCAGTGAAAATAAAACGCTTGTAAATTTTGTGGAAGAAATAAAAAAAAATACAGAGCTTATTTAATTCCTGGGTATATAGAGATTTAACATACACGGGAAAGATTACTGTTATTAAATCATTAGCTCTACCAATTCAGTCATTAACAGTTTTGCCAAACCAACCAGTTGATAAAATAAAATAAATTAAAAATATTTTTTTTAGTTTCTTGTGATCAGGAAAGCCAGATAAGATTAAAAGAAAAGTTATGATAGGGTAATTTGAAAAAGGTGGGTTGAAAATGCCAGATATAAGATCTTTTGTGTTAATCACTAAAGATGACATGGATAAATAAACTTTTAGACCCCTTTAATATATCCCCATGGAAAACACTGTTAATAGATCAATACAACAAATTGGGAGCAGACAAAATATGGTTGATGACCCCTGATGGTATCCAAAATATTTCTACAAATTTTAATAAATTTTGGAAAGATATTTTACTAAACTTGAATATCCTAAACACTGTCACTAATGACACTGCTGAAGGGATCATGAAACAATCCATATGGCTAAACAAGAGTTTGACAATAAATAATAAAACTGTCTTTTACCAGAGGTGGGTTGAATCAGGAGTTTTCTTTATGGGTGATTTACTTGATGAAAATAGTGAATTTTTTACTTTATAGGAATTCTGCAGAAAATATAATCTTGGAATACCATTCTAAACTTCATATGATCCAAAAACCTGGAAAGAGATCTAATCACTACTTCAGTGAAAATTATGCACATATCTAATTATAATTTTGAATTTATTAAAAACAATAAAATGTCATGTCAATTCTTTTATGAAAAAATCTTGTCAATGTATACAGAACGTTCTACAAAACAAGAAGACAAAATGTGTAAAGAACTAAGCACTCATATAGAAAATTGGGATTTCATTTATAGTTTACCCTTTTGTTGCACTAAAAACAACAAATTTAGTATGTTCCAGTTTAAGATTTTACATAGAACTCTAGCTACAAATGCATTATTGCAGAAATATGGGTTAAAAGAAACTAACTTATGTAGTTTCTGTAATGAAACTAAAGAAACTATAAGTCACCTTTTCTGGGAATGTACCCAGGTTAGAAATTGCAGCACTTTTTCAAGTTAAAAATAATCTAACTTTAATATTTGATGCGGAAAATATTGTTCTTTGGTCAGAGTCTTGGGGTGTTTCCCTAAACTTATTCACTATTCTGATTAAGTATTACATTTATACATGTCGCTTTAACACTTCATTACCAACTCTTACAGGGGCGATAGCTATGATTAAAAATTTCTACCAAATAGAAAAAATATCTACCTCCTTTTACAGATCCCCTAAAGCAAGAGAGAAATTTGATAGTAAATGGGAATTCATTAAAAACTTAGTTTACATGTGAGGAGAGATCTTTCTTTTTTGTACTCCCTTAAGGTTTTATAATAATTCATGTAGAATTATTAATATGTTGATGCGCATCACAACTGGACAGTGATTTGTGTGCATCATAAGAATGCTATCTATGATGTTTATTGATATTGTTATACATATTGATATACTTGTTTTTGGTTGATTGTATTGAATTATCTCCCCTTGACTTAGGTTGTCTTTTACTGTTGTAATTTATATTGTGATTCTGTCCAACATGTCCTGTCTGATCCTTATCTGTTAATGATCTCAGGTGGCCTCAACTGGTACCTCTCATGTTCAACATCATAGTATTGAAAGTGATGCATGTGACAAGAGGAGAAGGCTGATGCCACCATTAACCTTATCAACATATTCATGTACTCTAATCCAGAGTGATAAATGATGAGTATGATCTAATAGATAATTATCATCTAGATGATATAAAATTAGCATTATTAACTTTTTAACTTTAGACTGTTATTGAAAAATTTTATTTTAATACATGTATTATAAAATTATCTATGTATGCATGTATCACAGTGCTTGGTGCTATTTCAGATAAAATAAAAATAAATTACAAAAAAACAGTTTAATTCTTTTGGAGAAGATCCTTTTGGTATAATTTAAAATCATTTTATCTCAGACTGAAAGACTGACATATTGTTTACAATTTTCTGATTTCCTAGAGAAATCATTCCAACATCCTAATACCTCGATTTCTGTCTCATAGCAAACGGACAAAAGAAATCTCACCATCAAAAAGTCAAATATAAGAGAATATAAATACTTTCCGCGTATTTAACGTATAACTCATTCCTATATGTGTTGTCATTATCTCCGCAAGCAACGCTGTATATTTTTTCACAAGGACACAAATTACAAGGCCACTTACCAGTGAATCTTAATTTTACACCATTTAAATAAATCCAATTTCCTATTACAATATTGAGCATGCAATATCTCCGTTGTACTTTTTAAACAATAATTATGAAAAGCATGTTTGCAATGAAAGTCTATATAGCATTGTGTTAAAAGAATGAATTTTAACAAAGACTGAAAAAGATTAACAACGAATTATATGTTAATTTCCTTTGGAAAAAAATAGTATTCCTAAGAATAAAAGACTGGCACTTTGCTTACACTTTTTTGTTTAAATAAAGTTGCTGATAGTTACAGATATTCAAACATCATAATACCTCGAGATCTCTCTAACTGTGAAAGCAAATAATTAATCTTCCCTTTAAAGCAAGTCAAATACTAAAGTAAACTAATACATACTCGCATTTAGCTTCGCACTTGCTATTATATGTTTTGCCATCACCTCCGCAAACAGGACTGTATATTTTTGGACAGTTACATACATCATCAGGACAGGGACATTTACTTTTGCATTTAACCTTTACTCCACTGAAATAAATTAAAATATTCAATTTCCCTTAGTCATATTGAAATTAACTGTAATGGTTTCGTTGCACAATAATTATGAAAAACATATAAGGTATTAAAGTTTATTAAGCATTGTGTTGATTGGATAAAGTTATAAAACACAAAGGTAAAAACTGAAAAAAGTGACGTATTATTAAACATGATTAAAAGTAGACAATTGTAAGGAGATACACTTAGCAATTGTACCGAAAAAGACAGATACTGTGAGAATATGACAATCGAATTTTTCAGTCATGCCATATAATCCATTATCAAGTACACCATGTAGAACGCCACATGCGGGGTGTCGGCTATGTTTGACACGGGGTGGCAGTTTTGAAGCGGAGAAAAACGATCAAGGTAAGTTCAAGTATCAAAATTTCTATTTTAAGAATTGTTAGTACCAAATAATGTATTGCATGGAAGGAACCGAACCATAATTTATTTCCAGCAAGCAGAAGCAGACGTTTTCAGTGCTCTGTTTTCTCAACCACCTCACCCTTGTTTTCCGTGTTGCAGATTTTGAGGCTTCATATTGAAGTTTCAGGATAAAAAACTATTTTTGACGAATTTTTTCCCGTATGATTTATATAGAAATGAATTCCTATCATGGAATTTAACCAAATGCCAGCTTCTTAGTAAAAATGTATTGTTGGTTTTAAAACTAATTTTTCATCAAAATTTTTCAAGACGCTCGGGGTGTCATATTTTGAGTCTCAAGGGATAGAGGCATTCATTAGAAAAACATAATAGATATGCATTTAATCCGGCCTTTATCTGATACTTTGTAATTCAAACACACCTATTCTGTTATGATGACAAATTACAAACTTAAGGTATTTCATTTGGCCCATATTTCAGTCTTTTAAGTAATGTGCATTTTCAATGATAGAAATAGAGAAAAAGCCTCAAAGTAAAAAAATAATGTCATATGAAGAGAGGTGATATGTTATTTGTTTTGTTTTATTCGTTTAAAGCACAAGACTGTGAATAGCACTAACTTGAATTTCTTTCCTGTGCCACTTTATTAAAAAAAATATAAACTTATAATGAATCGGGCACACCCTTTTGCATTTATATGTGTGTTATTCAACAGATTTTTGCTTAAAACGTATAAAACAAAAACAAATAACATATCACCTCTCTTCATATGACATTATTTTTTTACTTTGAGGCTTTTTCTCTATTTCTAACATTAAATTTGCAAATTACTTAAAAGACTAAAATATGGGCCAAATGAAATACCTAAAGTTTGTAATTTGTCATCATAACAGAGTAGGTTAGTTTGAATTACAAAGTATCAGATAAAGGCCGAATTATATGCAAATCTTTTCTTTTTTTAATGACTGTCTCTACCCATTGAGACTTAAAATCTGGCACCCCGAGCGACACATTATATTTTTTTGAAAAATTAGTTTTAAAACCAATATGTTTTTACTAAGAAGCTGCCTTTTGGTTAAATTCCATGATAGGAATTCATTTCTATATAACTCATACGGGGAAAAATCGTCAAAAGTAGTTTTTTATCCTGAAACTTCAATATGAAGCCTCAAAATCTGCAACACAGAAAAATAGAGGTGTCTGAGAAAACAGAGCACTGAAAACGTCTGCTGCTGCTTGCTGGAAATAGATTATGGTTCGGTTCATTCCGTGCAATACATTATTTGGAACTTACAATTCTCAAAATAGAAATTTTGATACTTGAACTTACCTTGATCGCTTTTATCCGCTTTAAACTCGTGTCAAACATAGCCGACACCCCGCATTTAGTGTTCTACACGGTGAAGTATGTTATTATGTTATTTACAGTCCATAAACAATTTTTACATTCAATTACCTCGATTTCTGTCCCATAGCGAAAAAACAAAATAAATCTCCGTTTCAAATAGTCGAATATTACTGAACTTAAATACTTACCGCGCATTAAGCGTAAAACTCATTACTATATGGTTTGCCATAAAATCCGCAAGCAGCACTGTATATTTTTGGACAAAGACAAATATTGCAGGGCCACTTACCAGTGAATATTGCTTTGACGCCATTTAAATAAACACAATATCCTATAGTAATATTGAACATTCAATATCTTCGTTGTACTATTTAAACAAACATTATGAAGAGCAAATATGCAATGAAAGTCTACTTAGCATTGTGTGAAGCGGGTAATTTAAAGCCCAGACTGAAAAAGGTTAACAACGTATTCTTAACGTCAATTTCTTTTGAAAAAAAATCAGTGTTTCTTTTTTCTTTGGATAAAAGACTAGCACTTTGCTTACATTATTATTATAAGTAAAGTTGCTGATAGTTGAAAATATTCAAACATCATAATACCTCGAGATCTTTCTAACTGTGAAAGCAAATAATTATTCTCTCCTTCAGAGCTAGTCAAATATTAAAGTACATCAATACTTACGCGCATTTAGCTTCGCACTCATTGTTATATGTTTTGCCATTATAACAACAAACAGGACTGTATAATTTTGGACAGGGACACACATCATCACAGGGACACTTTTTATTGCAGTTAACGTTTGCTCCACTAAAAAAATAGAATTTTCAATTTCTTTTAGTCATATGGTGCATACCTGCAATAGCCTCGTTGAACATAATTATGTAAAAACAAATAAGGATGAACGTCGATTAAGCATTGTGTTGATTCGATAAAGTTAAACAAAACACAAAAGTAAAAACTGAAAAATAGTGATGTATATTTAAGAGCCAGTCTGCCATAAAACCATGCAAAATCCCAAATTTCGTCCAAATTGGTAGTTACAACTTGCCAAAATTATATATATTTCCAAAAACATTAGGTATTCAGGAGTTAAGATAAAACAATTTGTTTTCGTTAATTTGCGCTATTTTCCATTAAACCGCATAATTTGCATATTAGTGAATTATTTTAAAAAATGGCTAAAAAATACACCTTATTTAGGCACTTTTTAAGGGCCTGGATAATTGATATAGCTCTTAAATGAAATATTATTTTTATCATATTTTGAAGGAACATTAGTAAATAACCAAAAAAATAGCTTTTTGAGAATTTCGGACCTTTTGGCAGGTTGCCAGAAAGTTCGCGCAACAGATGTAATAAACAACTTATATATACTACATGTACTCAATAGCAGTTTTCTCTCAAGATCATATTTTTTATTCTTAACTTTTATAATACTTTGAAAGGTGTATATCAGTTCTAAGACGGGTAAAAAATTTTAGCTTGGCAAATAATGGAAAGTTGATCAAAAATACTCTTAAAATAACCATAAAATGCAATAATTCTAATAGTTTTTGTTTCTTGTTATTTAACTAAAATTGCTTAAAATAGGTGGTAACTGGGCTAAAATTGATTTATCTTATGTTGAAAAATATTTCTGGCTAAATGTATGTTTTTTTTCTTGTTAATTTGCAAAATTTAATATTAAGTTACCCAAAGGTAGCCTCAATGATATTTTTGTGGTTAAATTGTCTCCCTTAGTGGAAATCTTTCACTGGCAATATGGTAGCCTCCAGTGATGAAAGCAGACGTCTCTGTTCGGTCCGATTTTTCTGATCTTGGAGGTTGTTGTGGACAATCAAAGCACTATACAACTCATCTGTTAGACAAGGTTGATCTTTGTACAAACGACACAACCACCACCTTGAATTTATCCACAGCACTGAGGGCAGTGAGGCCTGTTTATCAAACTTTCCACATGTTCCAGGAGGACTATGAGTCTATGTTATACACATAAGTGACATTGTTTTCTGTTGATCGTGCTGCTATAAAATTGTCAATATGTCCATGCCGATGGCACAGAGACTTTTTTGGGATATATTGGAGGGACTATTCAACAAAGTGTGGATTCAAAGATCGTCCTGCATCCAAATGGCGAAAAGCTGATAGTGATTGAGGAACCACACTTACCCTATCATAGGAATACTGACTTTTGTAATGACAACTAATTCCAAAAGCAAAAGGGTCAGGTAAACTACAAAAATAAATTAGTTAATTATGACAGGGGTGGATCTAGCCAATTTAAAAAAGGGGGGAGGGGATGGTGGTTCTTAACAGGATAAAAAGGGAGGTCCATCCATGTGTCCCTATTCAAAAGCATTAATCAGCAAATAAAGGGAAGGTTCTAACCAACTAGTCCCTAGTCCAAATATATATAACGTCTTGAAAGGCTATTTTATGTTTTTTGCTTTGACATGTTTGACGCCTTACTGCGACGCAGGTGCCATAGGCATAGCCATAAAATAAAATGGCCTTTCAAGACGTCATAATTATTTTGACCACCCGTCCCTCCCTGGATGGATCCACCACTGTATTATGAAAAGATTCATTTTTAAAACTGCCACATATGCATGACATAGTGGCAAGGTATATAATTATGTGATACAATGAATATATATACATGTATATATGGAAAAAGGCATTTATTTCTAATACATGTAGATATGTGATATATGCAACACACACAACCACCATCTAATTGCTAGCTGTAAATTACCAGAAATGAGTCATTAAATATAAAAAAAAAAAAAAAAAACTGCACTACAAGTACATTGTACATGTATATCATGTATATATGGTCAAGATACAAAAAATTGTAAATTATAAATTTCTATTGAAGCAAGGACATACCGGCGGTACTACATGTAAAAACCAACCTACAATATATTCCTTAGTTGGAAAGGGCACACATAAATGTAGTGAGGTTAAACTTGTTTTGTTTTTGTCACTAAAATCTCAATTCCTCTTTTATTTGTCTGAAATGAAAGCACAAAATCTAGGTTTTTATAGGGTGTGAGTTTCTCACTTGAAGTTGTATGACGTTTTACATGTAGTCTTGATATTCATTCTGCATACTGACTTTAATAATGTCTCCATCATGTCCATGTATTCGAATGAGGCATGCCTTTTTGTAAATAAATTAGTTTTAACCTTTAATTTGATAAAACAGATTTGTCTATTATAATTTATTCACTGGCATCATGCCGTAGAACAACAGGTTTATAAATTGATTGATTGTTCACACCTGAAACATTGTTCATCTGGACATTGACATGATCATGTTTTATTGATGTTTTTAGTGTGTATGGTACCATTGACTGGCTGCATTATTCCATTTTTTCACAAAGACATACATTGTAGGTCTCTGCAAGCAGTGTTTTACCAAGATTAGACAAACAGTAGCTGATGGAGGAATCATAGTTGATACAAAAAAGATTATGGTAAGAAAACATACATGTATGAGAATGTTATTGCATTTATAAAAAAAAAGAAATGATTTGAATTGATTGCAAATGTGACAATGCTCCACAAGAGACTAGATGACATAAAAATTAACAACTATAGGTCACTGTATGGCCTTCAACAATGAACAAAGCCAATACCGCATAGTCAGCTATCAAAGGCCCAGAAATCACAAATGTTAAACTATTTAGAATGAGTAAATATATGTACAAAACAATGAACGAAAAACAAATATGGTATACAGCAACAAACAACAACCACTTCGAGGTTAAATTCGTTTGAAGGCGCCAACCCTCATCTAACCTGGGACAGTAATGTAACAGTACAACATAAGAAATCAGTCATGTGTCAGTTGAGGCTTCACTGTTCAGGTTGACACAAAGCATAAATACATCTAACAAAATCAGAGATCGGATGTGGCAGGGTTCTTATACATCCCCACATACATGTAGTTTATTTACAGGGGCAATTGAAAGGCATTTTGAAAATTTTAAACTGATGGTAAAATGTACGGAGATACATTTAGTGGGAAGGGGTGGAGGTTAGGAAATCATGAGAAGACCAGTGGTAAAATTTTTAACCATTACCAAAAAAGTGATAATGTCAAAAATATTACTGTAAATTCTGAAATTATTGCGATGTTTTTATTATTGCGAAAAATGCGACAGGGTTATAATTGCACTAATTTAAACTCCCATTTTGAAATTTACTATATGAATTAAACAGGATTTTTCTGAATATTGCAAAAATTAAATTCGCATTTCAGTCTAAAATTACATTACAATATTGCAGTTATTAATGCATGCAATAATTTCTGAATTTACAGTACTGGTATAGCTTTGTATTAGTTTTATCATGGACCTCATATTATTGATTTTGAATAATCCAACATGATTCACTTTTATAAAGGTAATGTTGACCTACATTTTCCACTTGAGCAACTTTGTTAATTTTGTGTGTTTAGGTCTATCTGTAAGATAATAGACATGGTATTACATTGATACTTGACTATAGCTAGTGGATAGATATCTTGGGTAGTACAGCATGGGTACTATTGATAAGGTCACTTTGGCCTACAATTTCTGCATGAATGGTTTGGTTAAGTTTTTGCATTAAGACATTGAGGTTTTATCAGATATTCTAGACTGCTAGATGTGGTAAAGCAATGATTTTACTCCACCAGTTGAGATATCTTATATATTTTTTTTTCATTGGGTCCCAACCAAATAGATTTCATAGTTATCTCATATATCATGGACATTGTATATTTGAGAATTCATTTATCTTTAATTTAATAAGGGATATATTATTTTTTTAAAGTAAATTTGTAGATTTATTTTTTATCTTTTTAGATGGAGATGAAAGCCAAATTAAAGATGCTCAGGTTCTCATAGGAGTATATTCAAAGCATCAACTAATTTTTCATAATATTTAGCATCAGATTCGGAAACAGATAACATTTCTGACCGGGAGAAACTCAACAGAGGCTTGCATTTCCTTTGAAATGGAAAGTATCCACCATTTAGGAACCAATTGAATCTGGCATGGGATGATGTATCAAAAAGTACAATGGCTTTTTCTACAAAATTATCATCAGAAATTATTGATTTGATTTTGAATTATATTGCACCTGCGCAATACAAGTCGATAAAGTGTTCTGATCTGTAGTAGAAGAGGAAAACAGACGAAACACAGTCAATATTACAACAGGATGTTTTGACTGAAGCTCTTATTGATGTATACTTACTAACTTAGACCTGAATAGTCATCCGACCTGGCTTCAGGTCTTATCACTGTTTGCATGTATTCAGACCGTTTTACATGTTTCTCTTTATGGCAGACTTCGCTAATATTATAATGACAGTATAATTATAAGCAAACAGCCTGAATAATTATATAACCATTTTAATGAAAATGTCTGCACCACAGTTGAACCATTTATCTGTATATTTGTTTTTATTCATGTAGGTATAACATAAATTTTATTTCCATTTGAAATATTTTTGTTTGTCTGTGGTAGTAATAGGCTAACTACATCTTACATGTCTTATTCACATGCCTCAAGTTATTGGAGATTACGTTCTATGAGGAAACTTAACATTGTTGTTATGACCGACTGTTATCCCAGAAGATACATAGTTATCACTATCTGTCATTCATGTCAGCGTCACAAAATTTAGGTAACACTTTTCTCAGCATCTGCTTGATATTTGACAAAAAGCTTATAAAGATTAATTCCAATATAAAAAAATGGACCCCCTTTTCTAGGTAAGAAGCACCCAGTCTCAATTTTATATGTGTATGTAATATCATCAAATACAACATGTATTTAAATATAAATATCAAGACTGAACAAAAGTGGCCATATCCATTTTAGCCAACAAATGTCTAAAATTAGCACAAATGCTAAAATTGTGAAGATGTCAGAAATTTTACATAAATTAATGATGATAGTACCTGTTGAATGTTCATAGTATTGTAAAAAAACAGCCCATTAAAAAATGATTTTAAAGTAACTGAAGTATTCACTTTGAAAAGTGACTTCAATAAGTAGCGATAAGTTAATACATGTATTTTAAACAAATTGTAAAAATGCTAAATTTTGGGGCTTAAAAGGGGTCTTACCAGGCCTACTTCTGTAGTATATTTTCAATTAAAACTAAGTTAAACTAAGTTTAATCATACAAGATACTAGTAAGCAATAATCATTATATCTGTCATTATTTTCTTATATTTTTACTATCACATACATTTGTAAAGTTTCTCTTGTAACCAATAAAAAATTCATAAATACGGCAAAATTGCCATCTTGTCCATCTTAAATTGTTATTTTATTGTAAGAAGGTATCATTTGCCGAGCACCATTTTCTTGCATTTTGTAGATAAATATATAAGCTTCATGCTGTATTACATTTTATTAAAAACAAAACATGATCTTACAAGATTCAGGTCTTTAAAAAAGACGAATTTTGCTGAATCGGCACTTTTTCAAAACCATGCAATATCAACCTGCCAGTAGGGGTATTGAGAAATGTCAAAACTTTGAAAACTATCCTAATTTTCTTTCATTTTAAGTTGTTTGTTAAGATATATGTTATCATTAAGCTGCAACTTTTCTATAATAATACAAAAAACCAGGTCAAAATACCCTAAAATAGGCTTAAAATGGCCTTTTGTCAGTACAGAAATGGACAATTATCGAATGTTCTGCATACACAAATAATGGCTGAATATTTTTTCAAAATATTTTGCACAAATAGTTATTACATATAAGATATCAAAAATACAAAATATCAGTCTGATTGGATAATTTTGGATTCGGACCATTTTGCATGATTTTACCACAGACTGGCTCTTAACATGATCAAAAGAAACAATTACAAAGAGATACATATATAGCCATTGTACCACAAAAGACAGATAATGTAACAATTTGAAAATCGACTTTTTTAGTCATCCCATATAGTCCATTATCAAGTATGTCATTATGTTGTTAAACAGTTCATATCTAGAAATTCTTCTTATACACACACCAATGCTTGGTTATTTACGACAGATAACTTATTGTACTGAATTTTACTGATTCAATGCTTATTATATATAAAACTATTAACCGTTTAATTTTAGTTTTATTCAAAATATCAGAACGTAATTTATAAAAGCATTTACGAAATATTTGTGTTAGAAAATATTTGCGAATACATACTAACTGTGAAAGAAAATAATTAATCTCTCCTTCAGAGCTAGTCAAATATTAAAGTACATTAATACTTACGCGCATTTAGCTTTGCACTCATTGCTGTATGTTTTGCCATCATCTCCGCAAACAGGACTGTCATACGCTGCACAGGAACATGTAGTAATAGCTGTAAATCATTATGTATTTTTTCAGCTCAGTATGCATATGACATAAAAAAGAATACTACTGAATATTTAAATAATAACAATGCCATAGCTGATGCAAATAGACGACTGCAGTCAGGGATCAAAGACAACTTATTTGCTTTTTACCACATTTTCCGTTGCAGAACAAAACCTACAGAAAGTCTACTCCTAAATAAGGCTAACTATTTGTCGCAAAATCAGAAGAAAAAAAGGATGTACATTATTTTGTTTTCTTTTCATCAAACATGCATTTAAATAGTTTTTATTTTTGCTGTTCTCATTTGGGATACAAATAAATTATTCGTAACAGCCCTTTTTTAATTCGAGAAAGTTTTATACTTGTTTCATTGTCCATGGTATCGGTTTTCTCTTTAGGTACGCTCGACGCTCAAAGTCTTTGAAAGCAAAACACATGATGTGTGTGACCATCAAGACCTAATGTGCTTCAATAGTGCTGCTCAGACTATTAGTATTTATGATCACCTTACGGGAGCTTTAACTTAGTGAATACACTATAACTTCTCAATGGTTAGGCAAGGGACTTACAGTCCATCAGTAGTGGCACAATGAAATAGGTACTGTACCTTTTAATTACTGTTAATGGACCTGTGGCGCTGATGTTGGACTTTCTATTCCCGAGGAATCAATCCACCCAGTCCCCACTACTTCAGTATCGACACGATTTAAACGAATTAAATGTTACACTTTGACTGATTATCTAATCTATTAATTATGAAATAATCTTACACTGGCCATCAACAATACTGGACCCTCGTTCGCTTTCATTGGCATTTGATCATGATTAGACGAAATTATTGCTCAAAAGAAGTATTTTCTGCTTATACTATAAACAAATATTCCTGGTCTTAAAAAACGAATGGCTTTTAGTGTTGCAATGAATTTACTTCTATTTGCTGCTATGTTTAACAAATGGCCATGATACCATCAAGTCAAATAACAGATATTTAGTCTTAGATGCATGATTTTTTATTAGTTGTTATTGGCACTGAACTAGCTGTCAGTAACTGCGAGTACTCTCAGATCTGTACTTAGTGTCTTTTTGTTGTTGGGATCTACAAGTAGATGTATTTCTATTTGTATCCATCTGAAGAGTTAAGCCTTTTTCAACTAAATAGTTTGTTCTTATGTTGTACTGTTACAACACTGTCCCAGGTTAGGGGAGGGTTGGGCGCCCGCTAACATGTTTAATCCCGCCACATTCTGTATGTGCCTGTCCCAAGTTAGGAGCCTGTAATTTAGTGCTTGTCGTTTGTTGCTGTGTTACATATTTCTTTTTCGTTCATTATTTTGTACATAAATTAGGCCGTTAGTTTTCTCGTTTGAATTGTTTTACATTTGTCATTTCGGTCCTTTTGTAGCTGACTATGCGGTATGGGATTTCCTCATTGGTGAAGGCCGAACGGTGACCTATAGTTGTTAATTTCTGTGTCATTTGGTCTCTTGTGGAGAGTTGTCTCATTGGCAATTATACCACATCTTCTTTTTCAATTAAGAACGTCTTTAATTTAATCATATGAATAAGTTCCGAAATGAAAAAAAAAAATTCAGCTGATTTGGTATCAAATATCAAAGAGTATGAACTTTAAATACCATTAAAGTATCTAAAAAAACAAGTAAGTTAAAATTCAATATCTTAAATGTAGATTCTTACGCTGGTTCGTCTGAGAGGATTCGAAAACATGGCACATAAATAACAGCAAAACCAACATTCGTATCATAATTTTCTCAATCACAACTGAAGGAAAGATCTGAAAAATAAAAAATCGCAAACATTGCTGCATTTACCTGACTTAAAACTAGGAACGTGTTAGTCGGTTTGAAGGTTTATGATAATAATTTGTTAAATGTGGTTATTGTTTATGAAAAATCGTATATCTATGAAATATGTTATCAATTCTTTATGACAAAGAAGTGATAAACATGTTCTATTAAGATACAATAGAAAAGTTGCACTTTGAAATCATGAAAATATTGTATTATCTTCTTCAAAATCGATTTTGTTTAAAATAAACGTATTGTCAAGGATGTCATTTGCGTGGTAATTTTATCATGATAAAATATAATAATCATACCGTATGTTTTTTTCTTCTAATTTCTTATTTCATACTTTTCTCGAATTTTATCCGAATGTCAGATTACTTTATCGGTAGCCGAGTGGTCTGAGTAGTCGAATTACTGTATCAATAGCCTGTCAACACTGAGGTTATGAGTGCGAATTCCTCATGTGGCAGGTGTGCTCGACTCCAATCTTAATTGTCAAGGATTGTCAGTATTCATATCGAAGGTCCGTGATTCTCTTCCAGGTACCCGACTTCCTTCACCAATAAAAACTGACCGCCACAAAATAGAACAATAGTGCTGAAAGTGGCGTTAAACAACAATCAATCATGATTTTTTCAAGTGTAACTTTTATATTATGAGTCGTATCTTACCGTGGATTCCAACCGTTGTTTTATCCACAAATGTCTGTTTTTCTATGTTAAAATTATTATAAATGATTTCAACATTATTTCTTCTTATTTAAATAAAATACGAACAATGCAGCATTAAACATTATCCGGTAACATATGCTGTCAAGTCATACAGCTTCGTAATTTGACGATCTAAACTATTATTTGTAATCCTGTATTACCAGCCGAATGAAAGCAAAGTGTTTAGTCCTTGTGTCATAAACAAACTTATGAATAACTTTAACTGAATAACAATTTTCAAAACAAACCGAGAAGCTTAAGTAAACAAACTAATGTAATGAAGTGAATGTAATTCTCAAAAAAAATTACAAAATATAAATTGTGGAACAGTAGAAATGCACATGTAATCATATTTAGATTAATATTCCACTGACTTAATGTATTTCATTTTCATAATGAAATTCAGTATTTTTAATCTTCAATCTGAATCGAATAACTATGGAAGTTTATTTGGGACAAAGTATTTGTGTGCGTCGACTTTAATCGTAAATTTTTTAACTTTTATCTCAGAGTTATCGACTTTATCTGAAAAATTTGATACAAACGGCATTTTGTTTTAACTCTAAAATATATACTTAAAGCCATTATCAAGATATTTTACAACTTATAAGTCAATGGAGGTATATAACATATATCTATTCAAGCATAATATGAATTTAAATTGTAAAATTGTAAGTAAGATCATTCTGTTTTACATTTGCAATCGGCTATTTCATATCGCGTCATGAGATTGCTGTTTGTTTAACTATTTCAATTCAGACATCTAGTAGTAATAATGGGGATCAAAGTACAACATGTACAAGTGTTGTAAGGTGAGTCATCAATGATTAGCATTTAGCTAATTTGTAAACTTGATTCAATAACGGTGATGTTTGCATGTTATCTGTAATATTTCCATGTGTCTCTCAGAAGTGGTCCACTAGCAATTCAAATCGCCAAGAAAAATTAAGATTTATGTATTTCATCCATGACCATCACTTAAATAGCTGTGTCACTAGAGTTTCTGTTAACAGAGAGGCACAAGATAACAAATGGGACATTCAAACTCGAGATTAAACTGACAACACCATGGCAAAAAGAAAAAAAGACCAAAACAACAAACAACAGTTTATAAAACACAACGTATATAACTAAATACTGAGTAACAAGAACCCAAAAAAACGGGGATGATCTCTGGTGCTTCGGAGGGATAAGCAGATCCTGCTCCACACGTGGCACCCGTTGTACTGCTCCTATAAGTACGAACCCGTTGATAGGTCGAATTCGGTAGGTCACATTCGGGAAAGAGGAGGACGGGATTTTGTTTCCGACGAATGGAACATATCCGTCGTCATCTGTGAAACAGATATTCCATAACGGTCAACCAACTCGTGATGGCGTTCTTAAAATTATAAATAATTTTAAATTATTACAGCGTTTGCAGTATTGTTGTTGAATCCTGCTCCACACGTGTCACCCGTTGTGCTGCTCATTTAAGTACAAACCCGTTGATAGGTCGAATTCGGTAGGTCACATTCGGGAAAGAGGAGGACGGGATTTTGTTTCCGACGATTGGAACATATCCGTCGTCATCTATGAAACAGATATTCCATAATGGTCAACCAACTCGTGATGGCGTCCTTAAAATCATAAATAATTGCAAATTATTACAGCGTTTGCAGTATTGTTGTTGAATAAACAAATATTTATTTGATAAGAGGCAATAGTAGTATACTGATGTTCAAAACTAGAATTTTTTTCTAAAAACAAAGATCAAGAGTAAAGAAGCTGAAGAAACTCCTAACCGTTGGAAATCTAGTGACAAAATATTACCTCCCCTAGATTTTTCAATGTTTGTCCCATTTCAGCAAGGACGCTATCAATTATAAATTCACCGGAAAACGTTCTGGCATATAGTAAAAATAGAAATAAAATGAAATAAAAACAAAACTTCAATTTATTGTTATCCTTACCCACCTTAAACAGAAAACGACGAGTACAGCAGACTAAAGGAGCTTGGTGAAAAAAAAATTACATAATATAAATTGTGAACAGTAGAAATGCACATGTAATCATATTTAGATTAACATTCCACTGACTTAATGTATTACATCTTCATAATGAAAGTCAGTATTTTTAGTCTTCAATCTGAATCGAATAACTATGGAAGTTTATTTGGGACAAAGTATTTGTGTGCGTCGACTTTAATCGTAAAAATTTTAACTTTTATCTCAGAGTTATCGACTTTATCTGAGATATTTGATACAAACGGCTTTTTTTTTACTATAAAATGTATACTTTAAGCCATTATCAAGATATTTTACAACTTATAAGTCCATGGAGGTATATAACATATATCTATTCAAGCATAATATGAATTTAAATTGTAAAATTGTAAGTAATATCATTCTGTTTCACATTTCCAATCGGCTATTTCATATCGCGTCATGAGATTGCTGTTTGTTTAACTATTTCAATTCAGACATCTAGTAGTAATAATCGGCATCAAATTACAACATGTACAAGTTTTGTAAGGTGAGTCATCTATGAGTAGCATTTAGTCAATTTGTAAACATGATTCCATAACAGTGATGTTTGCATGTTATCTGTAATATCTCTATGTGTCTCTCAGTAGTGGTCCACTAGCAATTCAAGTCGCCAAGAAAAAATAAGCTTTAGGTATTTCATCAATGACCATCACTTACATAGCTGTGTCACTAGAGTTACTGTTAACAGAGAGGCAAAAGATAACAAAAGGGAATTCAAACTCGAGAATAAACTGACAACACCATGGCAAAAACAGAAAAAGACCAAACGACAAACAACAGTTTACAAAATACAACATATTTAACTCAATACTGAATAACAAGAACCCAAAAAAACGAGGATGATCTCTGGTGTTTCGGACGGATAAACAGATCCTACCCTACACGTGGTACCCGTTGTGCTGCTCATATAAGTACGAACCCGTTGATAGGTCGAATTCGGTAGGTCACATTCGGGAAAGAGGAGGACGGGATTTTGTTTCCGACGAATAGAACATATCCGTCGTCATCTGTGAAACAGATATTCCATAACGGTCAACCAACTCGTGATGGCGTCCTTAAAATTATAAATAATTTTAAATTATTACAGCATTTGCAGTATTGTTGTTGAATCCTGCTACACACGTGGCACCCGTTGTGCTGCTCATATAAGTACAAACCCGTTGAAAGGTCGAATTCGGTAGGTCACATTCGGGAAAGAGGAGGACGGGATTTTTAATTCCGACGAATGGAACATATCCGTCGTCATCTGTGAAACAAATATTCCATAACGGTCAACCAATTTGTGATGGCGTCCTTAAAATTATAAATATTTTTTTAAATTATTACAACGTTTGCAGTGTTGTTTTTGAATAAAATAATATTTATTTGATAAGAGGCAATAGTAGTATACTGATGTTCAAAACTAGATTTTTTTTCTAAAAACAAAGACCAAGAGAAGAGAAGCTGAAGAAACTCCCAACCGTAGGAAATCTAGTGACAAAATATTACCTCCCCTAGATCTGTCAATGTTTGTCCCATTTCAGCAAGGACGCTATCAATTACAAATTCACCGGAAAACGTTCTGGTAAATAGTAAAAATAGAAATGAAATGAAATAAAAACAGAACTTCAATTTAATGTTATTCTTTCCCTCCTTAAACAGAAAACGTCGAGTACAGCAGACTAAAGGAGCTTGGTGTAAAAATGATTTAAAATGTTGCGATACGAATAAATTCCTGAAGTACCAACTTCAATGTATTTGTTTTCTGGCTGTATACCTCTCTTGGAAATGCTAATTATCCGTATATATATGCAGCTAGATCAGAGAAAGTCAGGAAAAATTTCAAAGGAATCGATTGATATGCAGCAAAGATCGGGACTTTTTGAAATTAAGTTACTAAGCAAATTCAAACGGACTTTATGTACACATTGGATGTGAATAGAGAGAAAAAAGGCAAATACATGTACAAAAATCATGACGACCTTTTCTAAAAATTGTATGAAAAAAATAGTAAAAGGATTCCTACTTTATAAGAATATTTATCTTTAATTTTTTAACCTGCACAGACAGACTTTTATATTGGTTTATTCATGAAAAGACAATATTTCTTTATTGAATGTTCATTTGACAAGAGCAGACCGGTGTACTCGAAAACTTAGAATGTGAACAATAAATATATATAGGGAAATTGTAACATTCTAAGGACTTTATGGAACACTCCAAAAATTGATGACTCGAAAGATCTTCAGATTTTGTATCTACTTGATTTTTTTCCAATTTTTTTTTATCAATATGCAGCAAAAATTGGCATTTTTTTGTTTCACAAGCTTCTAATGCAATTATCTCGATAAAAACTGAACATAAAACATCGTGTGTCTGCATGTATATTTCTAATAACACAGTTTAACAAATTATTTCTTTAAAATGTACAATTGTTATTTAGAAATAACGTTTGGTCAGTTTCGTCACCTCCATTGTTTTATTATTGATTTCCTCGACTCTAACATAACAAGAGGTAATTTTCTTTTGTTCTTTTTCACTAGATTTCCCACTGCTAATGCAGAATCTGAATTAGTAAGACCATACCATGGGTTTCAACATCCTGAGGCAAAGTTGACCTCAGTTGGATTTGGCTATTATTTGTAGGTCGTTTTTTTATAATAAAGCCCTGCAACTGGTTCGGTTCTTCTATATCCTCGGCTTTACAATATTCGGCTTGGAGCGTTCCGGATGAAGGCAAATCCACAAAAAGTGCTTCGTATGCATAGAATTGATCGAGTGTTATTTTCATTTTTTAATCAATCCACTCAACAATTCAAAGGAGTAGGTCCGGTAAGGGCCAATTTTGGCCTCAAAATTCAGGTTCATCTGAAGAAAGATTTTGGATACTTTTTAAACACTTAAGTCTACTTCAGTCGATTCAATTAGTTTATGTGAAAGATTTGAACTGATTTAGTCATTAAAGACGCTCAAATTCAAGCTTAAATATGAAAAATCTATCAAATATGCCATAATATGTCACTTTTCAGATGCTTTTTGTCAAAAATGAAAGTGGCCGCATCCGT